CCCCAGCTGGCACCCCAGCCTACCCTCTTTCAGATGTCTCCATCCTGGATTTGGCCCCCACCTTCTACCTGACCACCTGATTCATAAACTTGCTGCTTATTTGAAATTAGTTCTTTTCTCCTCTGGACTTTGGCATCCCAGTCCCAGGAGGGTAAAAGCTGCATAGCTCCTGCAAATAAGGAGGCAAGATCAGGCATTCAGGGTACTAAATAATCAAATTGTGACCATTTATTAAAGTCTACTACATGCCAGGCATTTTACATACATCTCCTGCCACTATAATATCCCTTCAAGGTGCTCATTTTAGGCATGAAGAAACTGAGTCCCAGAAGTCATAAGTTAGCTCGCTCAGGGTCACAAAGCATCTTCATGATGGACCAGAATAAAACCCAAGTCTGTCTGATTTTCTCCACTGAATCGGCTTCCTCCCTATAGCCCCTGCTCCACTTGATAGTGCAGGTACCTGTCTCTATTTTGTTCCCATCAGTCTATGAATTTCCCAAGGCTTTACTTTTAGCTCTACAGAGTGCCTTACACAGGCCTGGCACTTTGTAGCAGCACAATTAAATAACTGCTGAATTGAATATCTGCTATGGCCCCATTCAAAGGAGCCTCATGAACCCATCCCTGGGCCAGGGTTCACAGAGCTTCACCTTTCCCTTCATCTGGTTGCTTTCTTCCATTTCTTTTTTCTTCTTCTTCTTCTTTTCTCCTTTCAGAATTTGATCCGACTCTTCTGGAAACTTTTCTTATTTAGCTAATGCATCAAGTGGACGATTTCCTTGGTAGCTGGGCTAGGACCCAAGGAGACAGACAGCTTACCATAGCCTTCCCGATCAAAGCTAAAACTTCTTTGAGGTTCACATGTACATCTACATGATAGCCAATTTCCCTTTGCTTCCAACCCCACAAAAAAGTAGAAGGAATGCTCTTTCTTACTTTCATCCTATCCTCCTCTAGATCCCCTCTCCTATGACAACCTAAAACATAACAATGCTCTCTTTTATTTCTCCTGTCAAGACAATCTATTATGTTCATGTTAAGCCAATTTCACCTAAATAGAAATAATGGAGCAATGTAGGATAGAAGACGACAAAGAACACCCTGGAATTCACTCTGGACTCTTCCTCCTTACGGCGATCCTGGGACCCTATATCCCTAGCGTAGTCAGTGTGACAAAAAACATGGACTCTGGAGTTAGGTGTTGGTTCAAATCTTGAATGTAACTGCTAGCTCTGTGCCCCTGGGCAAATCTGTTAACTTCTCTTGAGATTCTAGTTCTGTACTAAAAAGATATGAATAATACTATCTACCTAGACTTGTTTGAAGAATAAATGAGATAACACGTATAAAGAACCAGGTCCTAATCCTGGCACACAGAGTAAGCAATCAGGAAATATTTATTCCCTTCGCCCCACTTCCACGTAAGCTCCAATACTCACAGGCTAGAGGCAAGATGCATTGTTAACAAAAGGTAGAGTGGTATAATAAGGTATAAAAAGAAGATTCCTGATGCAAGAAAAGGGTATCTTGTTACCACAGAGTTGTTTAAATAACCAAAGCAAAACCAAAACACAAAAACCATTATTCTTAACTCTGGAGATTAAAGAGTACAGACTGTTCGGGTTATCACAAGTTCCAACATGAGGCAATAATAAAAGGCTTTCATCTCATCTTTATTCCTGACCTGATCATTATCAAACGTTTACATCTTCAGAAATGGCCTTTCCTGAATCACCTGAAAAGAAGTAAATATTCATCGACAAAGACACCATGTGCCAAAAAGCAGTGATGAGCTAATGCTGTGGGAAGAATATAAATTGCTTCCTAGAAGCTTTGGGAATGTGGGGAAGCTGGAGGGAGGAGATGAGGAGGACTGAGAAAAGAAAGGGAAAAAAACCAATTTGGGTAGGAAAGGCCTATATCTAAATTTTATACACTGTCAAATGATTCGGAACCAAAATCTGCTACTTCAAAAAACTTCTCATTAATCTACTGGCTCTACAAATATTCACATTAAAGTTGACCTCTGATACTCTGGAATTGGTATTTATATATTCGACAATCCTAAACACTGATTTTTTAAAATCTTAAGCAATTCTCCATCTGCCTAATATTCAGATCATAGTACTACCAATTGTTAATTCACTGAGACCTGCTGTGGCAGACACAGCCAGGAAAGAAACAGAAGAAAGAGACAAAGCACGAGTGTGCTGCAGACAGGGGTCTAGCTAGAACGCCACAAGCCTGGCTGGCAAGTGCCACTTCACCTGCTCTGATCCACTCCTGACCTTCCAAGGATCAGGCAAGTACAACCTACCTCTCCGAGACCTACACAGCCACGGACATATTTACTAGCCTCATACGATTCGAAATCCATCCTACAAACATATCCTAAAAATGCCCTCCATGTAGCAGCTCCATGGCCGCGGACAAGAGTCTGAAGGAACAGGCTGTCTTCCATCTCCCCCTGCAGCTGACCTGTCTGTTCACAGGTGTAGCCAGGTAGCTCTGCCTCTTAGTAGACCCTGCCTTCCATATTCCATGTGTAAAATATGTCAACCAATGTCAAAACCTATGAACTAAGACAGTTTGACTTTTACTGCGATTTCCTAATACACACAATTTCTGCCAAATAATTGAGGCAGGGCCTCTGAGTACATTCTTCCTACAGTGACCAGGGACACCCCATTTTCACTCCACACACAGCAGCTGCTGGGGACCCTTTTCTCATCTTTCTCACCAGGCACATAAAGCAGAGCTATGTTGCCTCTTCATCTATCTTCCAGAGCTCCTGTCTGAACAAAGGGAAACAGAGAGGTGACACAGGGTTGACTAGAAAGCATTTAACTGTGGACTCTGTGACATTTGCAAAATTCTACAATGTGAGGCAAGTTGAACCTCTCAGAACCTTAGTTTCCTCATCTGTGAAATGGTGATTAGACTACCACCCTTACAGGATTGATGTGAGAATTAAATTATATAATTTATTTATATAACAATTTATATATAATTATATGTTAAATTATATAACTAAACTATAGACTTAATAGGACAACAGATCACTTTCAAAAGCTTAATCAGCATACAGGAGACATCCAATAGGGGTAAAAGTCAAAATGCTAAGGCATATACCAGGGACTAATACTGCCAAAAGCAAAAAGAAGAGGAGGGTTTCGGCAGTTGCTGCTTCTCCCTCATCTCTGTGGCTGCACACCAATTTATTCATCCAGAAAATCAAGGGGTCCTAAGTATAGTAAAACCTTCCTGGTTTTGGTCATCCCAATTAGGCCTTAATTGCATTATGAGTAAGCAAGACTTGACCTAACCTCTACCATCTGTAGTGTACTAGTAACTCTCAGAGTATTTTCCTAGCTGGGTATTCATCCTTCCCATTATGAGACATTCAAGGCACTCTGCACTCGGGCACCAACCTACTTCTCTAGCACAGTCAGCCCTCGGTACCTGC